AAAAAGATCTTCAAAAAGAAGTGACAAGAGCTAGAAAAGTGAGAATTGGAAAAATGAATAAATTTTTTTATATCATCATTCTAATCCCTTAACGATATTATCATACCTGACCAGCAAGTTCTAAACGCTTGTTTCCATAATAATCCCGATCGTCAACATGGGCCTGATAGCAACATAAAACATGATGTTTATCAGATTTGACAGCACCTACAATGTGCATGGAAACAACTGTAATCTACTCACTTCATTGGCTGAAGCCAGAATTACTCTTCTGATCATTAGGGCCATGTAAACACACTTTGTCCTGAAATTGTACTTGATGACCTGATTGAAGAAGAGAAAATACTTGCTTTTAATTTTAGGATTAAAGCACAACAACAAAGACTGAAATCATCAAAAAATTATGTTGTAGTATTTTGACAAACATTTACAAAATCTAATTTCAATATTACAAAGAAGTACTTACASGAATATGTGCAAAGAACACATGGGCAAGAATTTCACGAGCCTCRTCTACTTTACTTCTGGATTTCCCCCAAGTTGCCCTTACACGAACCTTGCTTCCCATGTGCTTGAGAGCCTGCCAGACAAACAAACAAAATATAAATACAGAAAACACAATTTTAACTGTGTTTAAACTGTCTAATTAACCAATTTATTAATTCAAAGGTCGATTGTTAATACCTGTAGCTGGGTGTATATATTGAGYTTGTGRCATTCCTCYARCGATGGTGTAAAATATGCMACAACGTCYTCTTCACAGCCAACCATTTGTACAATTTCCTGTTCATTCTCTAGACCCATAGCTTTGAATATTACTACAACGGGAAGGTCCTAACAACAAATGGACACATGTTGATTCCTGCTACAAACATTCCCTACACATGCAGGACTATAACTTTCTACATTTTGAAGTATATGTGAACCATCCTACTCTTGTAGGCAAAAGGAATTAATTGTGGCACCACAGAAAGAAAGACATGGGAGGAGGGAAAAGTAATGGCAATAGGGTATGCAAATAGAGGAAAAGCACTCATTGAGTTCTTTTGTGCAACTGACTATGAAAAAGATAGGTTAACAAGAATCTTTAGGTCATATGAGAAATAAGGAAAAGAGAGCTAACTCATCCATATTGCAGGCACAAGTCTCATGGAAAAGATGTCTACTATATTGGACACTGCTCTCATTTAAGGTCATTATATTTAAATAACTGTACCTCTGTTAATGTGTTGTGTTTAAGATAAAACTTTCCACCTTTCGTAATAATGTCAGTCTTTGTCTTTCGTTCAGCTGTTGAACTAAAGAGGAAGTTCCTCCTTCAGTCAGTGAACAAAGCACATGTCTTTAACTGAGTTCTAGTGTTGACTAATACCTTGTAACTGAGCAGCAAACATTGCCTTTTCTGTCAGTATCTACAATCATTCTGTTTTTTGATAGCTGTTCTTGGATAAGTATTACTTTCTCTGTACCATTTACAATGAAATAACCACCTGAAGAAGATATCAAAACATTCAATGGTTGTCTCGCTTCAATATGTAAAGGCATGGCTACCTTTCAAGATGGCGCAGGGACCCATGAATGAGACTGTTATAGTGTGGAGTCTCAAAGCAAGGTTGTGTGTATTATCATTATCATCATCATCATCATCACTATCATTATCATCATCATCATTGCTATCACCATTATCATCATCATCATATTTGTCCTCATTGTCATCATTATCATTACCACCACCACCATTATCATCATCATAGTGGCCATCATCATCATCATCATGAAGGTGCTGCCATTATTGTATCACACAAGCAATACCACTGCCCTCCTTCATGGGTGATGTCATCCTATACCTGGATCAATTGGACATTCATTCAGCGATGCCAGCTCTGCAGGACTTTTACCAGTTAATACACAGTTAGAACTTCTCAACATAATTGGCATTCTACAAAATGAAAAAGGAAAATATTCACAATACTGACAACTTTTTTCATTTCTTAGTAGATTACATGGACCAGATTAACTATCATACATACCTGCCTATAGGAAGACCATTTCGGACAACTCTCTGAAAACAAAAATATATATTTTATGGGCTTTCTGTGGAGGAAGGGGTTTCAGACCCATTCCTTCCAGGTCTTCATGACAAAGGAACCCCAGCTTAGTTTTCCCAAGAGGAGACTTAGCTAGTAATCATAGACAGACTGAAAGGAGGCTGAATAATGCAATCATYTTCATTGCTCCTGCCAATCAACAACATGGCTACCTTACTACATGTATGATTATAGTAAAAACAGACTCAATCAGAATTTAAAATGATGAGCCTACCTGTTATTCTGTGTACATCAATTCCCACCCCTTCCCCCCTGTGGGGAAAATTCAAAGGGGGGAGGGGTGGGAATGGATGTACACAGGCTACCTACCTGTTGACCTCTAGTGTACTCAATATCAACTGTTATCGGTGCAGAGTATGTCATATCTCTTAAGCGGCACTGTGGACAACAGCAAAAGCTTGTTTTACAAACACAGTGTTATTACCACCACAACTATCATCACTTTGAACAAACCTCATGTGGTGATATAGGTTTTGTTATGTTAAATGACTCTTCTACATCTGGTGTTCCAACATAAATGTTGAGAAATCTAAAAAAAAACAATGATTTATTTTGACTAATTTCTTGGCATAGTGTTGATAGTTATGAACTGAAATTGCTTACTTTAAATACCAAACAGAGTCAGCATCAGATGTGATCTTTTCATTGGCTTGGACTATTTTCTTGATCTTAAGAAAAGAACAATGAGAACTTAGTGTGCAACCAATGTACATGTACTACCCAAGTACAGTACATGTAGTAATTCAGCTATACATCAATAGTTATTGCAAGCAAAATGTTGAAACCCTGACCTCAAGATTAATGAAATAGTTGAATGAATCGATGTGCTGCTTGACCAGACCTTTAACCTGGGACAATAATAAAAATCAAATTAAGATTCAACATAGTACGCTATCACTATAGTCAATCTTTTATATCTCCATAATAGAATAAATAGTTACAAACTTTAACTCAATTTTCAACAGAAAATGTTCATTTATTCATAATGGAAAACAAAAGCGTTCACATTACCTTGAGGAAAGCTGGGAGGAGTTTCCATTTATCCTGAAATCAAGTTAATCAAATTCAATTAGGCCTTCAAKGCTCAAAAACTTTTCAAAAGCATTTTCACGAACCTTGACGGTTTTTATTGGCTTTGAAATGTCCTCCATAATTTCATCTTCCTTATTTTCATCCATTATATGGAAGTTATACTATAAATTTTAGCTTGTAAATCAAAGAATCTGAACCCAATCCTCGAGTTCTCGTGCCGTACATGCAAATACCGACAGGCGTTACAATCACTGTGCTTTGATAACCGTGAAGGGATTGGTACCCAATATTTATTTGCTCTTYATGACAAAGAAAAACTCAGTGAAGGCGCTAGAATTTCAAAAAWATATTGCTTTATCTTACTTTTGAAAGAACATCTTTATCAAACAAATRATTTTGCTCTAGACCAAACGCTAAAATCTCCAAGCGTCATTTGACTTACCCACCCCTAGTGAGTAAAGGTCTGCACAGGCGTCTGGGATATGACGAATGTCAGTGGAAATATTTCGCCCAKCAAGGAGGAGAATAAATTAGTGGTTTTCTACTAATCCACTTGACTGATTCCTCAAGTAATTCATCAGAATACTTCTACGATAACTAGAGATGTTCCCTAACTATAGAAATATAAAATAACTTCAGRAACTGTCACAGAAATAAGCTGCTTAATACAAACGCCATCTTGTTTACGAGTGGACTTTGTTTTGCTACACAAGTTGAAAACGATATTACGACAATCTTACTGTGATAAGCACCATAATGTCGGCTTTTAGGTATGTATCAGTTCTGTGGTATAAATTAAGAGCTTTATTTGAAGAAAACAATTTGTTTTGGTCAGACAAACGCGATGTCAGACAGCTACAGTACCAAGATCATCAAATGTTTCAAGTAGTTATATCGATCTCTCTTGAACAAAAACAAAACCACCTTTGTCCTTCCATTTCTATGCTAGGATATTATATGTTGTGGTATTCAAAAACCTCTTTACTTTTTAAAAAGAGTAGTGACTTGTTTTAAAAGGCGGAAATGATTCCTTTATGACGATTGTATGACAATTTGTGCTGAGGAATAAGCTTAATATTTTACGATTGTCAATTGTATTTGGACACTTTTAATGGACTTTCGACTTGTATTTAAATACATTTAGTTCACTAGAGACAACCTTGACATGCAGATTATAGGAGTTACACCCATTTACACCTAGAACAAGCATATCCCAGTTCATAMATTTACGATCTAAGCTTCAATTATTACAAATTTTTGTTACAAAGGTTTGTTATTTTTAAGATTTAAAGGGTTRTATCMCGCTGAGGGGATTTCTTTGCCTCCTGCTGTGAATCAGTTTGGTGCATTGATTTTAAAGGCTGAATAACATGAATGCTCAGAACTGTATAACATCATTGATATTACATGTAAGTTATCGTTTTGATCTATTTTCTAGTATGGACTTCACCCAACAACTTGCAGAGGAAGATAAAGTTCTAGTTCCTCCGTACAGAAATGCTGACCATTGCAACAAAGGATTTAAAATAATGAACACTCTAAGACTTCAAAACCAGCTTTGTGATGTAGTACTAAAAGCAGGCAATGTTGAAATCCCTGCACATAAAGTCGTACTAGCCTCATCAAGYTCCTACTTTTATGCAATGTTTACTGGGGAATTGTCTGAGAGCAGGCAGAATGTTGTGACGTTGAAGGAGATTGACAGYGCTGCYTTGGAAATGCTAGTKGAATATGTTTATGTTGCTGAGATTGATGTTACAGAGGAAAATGTTCAGGTGAAGTAGAAACTTGCATTATAAATATGAAAAAACTGAGCATCGCACTAATATTTTATAGAAAAAATGTAAATTGTAGTTTTTGAATTTCTACCCTTTATATCTACATGTATTTTTGTGAATTTATTCTATTATACATTTACATTTTCAGGTCTTACTACCAGCAGCCAAYCTCTTGCAGCTAAATGAAGTACGTGATGCTTGTTGYGAGTTTCTCAAGGCTCAACTTCATCCTTCAAATTGCTTAGGCATTAGAGCCTTTGCGGATATGCATTCTTGTTCAGATCTCATGGGYACAGGACACAATTAYGCAGAATTGCACTTTGGTGAAGTTGTTCAAGGAGARGAGTTTATTGGGCTTTCATGYATGCAGGTTGCTGAACTYATATCAAGTGACCAACTTTGTGTTCCGTCTGAAGAAAAGGTGAGAGAGGCTTGGGCTTGGGTTTGAGAAAAAATACAGAAA